GTGTACGGGGCCCCTGGTTTTTTTTGGCCCGGGGGGCCCGGGGGGGGGGGGCTCTGCAACTTACCTGGCTGCTTCTTGCTCTGACTGAGGGCTGCTGGGAGCAGGGAGTGGGGCTTGTTGCATGTGCCCAACCCCTGGGCTCTTTACTGCCGGAGCTCCACTCCTATGCGCTCTGCAGGAAATGACCCCTGCTCAAGAGTGTTCCGAGAACGCCCTGACCTGGATAGCGCAGGCAAGCTGGATCTCAGCAGATCTCGGGAAGCTAAGCAGGGTTGACTCTGGCAACTACTTCAATGGGGCACCTCCTTAGAATACCAGATGCGGGAGGCGGGGGCAGGCTTTATTCAGCCACGTCTCTGAATATCCCCAGGCCCCCAGTAGGGGTCAGTCACCAGAGGTGGCCACGACTTCCAGGTGCGCACATGCTCACACGCGCATACGCATGCACATACGAAAAACAGCACCAACTAAAAGAATGTCTCCAGAACGCTCTATCAAAAAAGTCCCATGCGATAGGGCTCCTAGGTTGCCTTAAAAACTCACTCAGCCCTGCCTACTCACAGGCAGTGTTCCCTCTAAGCTGAGTGAGTGTGAGCCAGCTCACCATTTTTTAGCCTCACACGTCTTTGTCTTGGCTCAGGAAGGGATGGCTCCAGAGCAAACTAATTTACCCAGTAGCCAAATCGCTCGCTCACAACTTTAATGCCAGGAGCTGACAAAATGGAATTTTTGCTCACAAGACTCCACGGCTTAGAGGGAGTATTGCACCAACTCTTTTGCCCACAGCCGCCGGGCACATAGTTACTGCCACCTCTAGTTCTTGGGTGGCATTTAGGGTGGCACTTAGTGCACTCTGACTGCCATGTGTTAGCAGTTACATGCCAAGGAGATGTTCAGCAAGCTCTGTTTCAGCTGTCACCATGCTGGGGGGGGGGGGGGAGACATCCATGCCAACTGTCCTTTGCCCTGCCATTCATCCGCTTGAGGGTTCCGATGCTCAGGCAAGTCCTCTTCTCGTGTGGGTTTGGCGAGTAAGCTATGCGCCTGCTCTTGCGTTACAGGCTCGAAGAAGGAGGCCGAAGGAAATGCGGCCAGTACTGGCCGTTGGACAAGGACTTCCAGACCTGCTACGGAATCTTAACCGTCACTAACCTTGGGATGGAGAACCTCAACCATTACAAAAAAACGGTTCTGGAGATCTACAACTGCGAGGTACGCCTTGGTGCAAGCATGGGAGGGGTTCTACCAGGACTCCATGTCTCTGGCCATGGAGCAGGGGTCACTGGGGCTGTGGGGGGGGGAGGCAGTTGTGAATTTCCTGCATCGTGCAGGGGGTTGGACTAGATGACCCTGGAGGCCCCTTCCAACTCTAGGATTCTATGACTACTGGCCAAAGGTCGAAAGACAGAGAGGGGTTCGCTGTGATGGAAACCCTCATTTCATGCCCAGAAATAATTACACAGCTTGAAGGGGTATATGATGCAGATTAGCCTTATTGTTACTGATTGCAGAATCTGGCTTTTCTTGGGGCAGAATTTGGATTGTCGCAGCAAGTGCAAAGCAAACTTTCCCATAATTGGAAATGCCGTAGGTATGCAAGGCATGTACTCGTATACTCGTGTGGGCTGTACCCGATGAAGTACGTCTCAAGGCAAATCCCCCTGACGCTCTATTTGTAGTACCCACCTTTGGCACTGCTGTTTCCAGGACAAGAGTTGGCCGCAGTAGCATTTTCGGCTTTTTTTTCGGTTCGGGATCCCGAAATGCACATCCCTAAGCATGAGTGAGGAAAGCGTGCCCTCTGTGGACAAGGGGAATTGCCACAGCTGACCGCGGGTCCCCTCTTTTGCACCCGCAGAGCCGCGAGCGCCGCCTTGTGACCCATTTCCAGTACGTGAGCTGGCCAGACTACGGCGTCCCTTCCTCCGCTGCTACACTTATTGACTTCCTGGGGGCCGTCAAGCAGCAACAGAGAGTGGCGGTCAGCGCGTTGGGACCACGGTACAAAGGTCATCCGGGGGGACCGCCCATCGTGGTCCATTGCAGCGCCGGCATTGGCAGGACAGGTAAATACACGTCCTGTTCACACATTACAGGGAACACACGTAACATCCTGCACAAATGTGAGTATCTCTACTTGGAAGAAGAAGAAGAGATTGGATTTATACCCCGCCCTTCACTACCCAAAGGAGTCTCACAGCGGCTTACAATCTCCTTTCCCTTCCTCTCCCCACAACAGACACCCTGTGAGGTAGGTGGGGCTGAGAGAGCTCTGACAGAAACTGCTCTTTTTCAAGGAGAGCTCTTGTCAGAACTACGGCTTGCCCAAGGTCATCCAGCCAGGTGCAAGTGGAGGAGTGGGGAATCAAACCCGGTTCTCCCAGATTGGAGTCTGCGCACTTTAACCACGACACCAAACTGGGTCTTGTAAGAAAGACCCAACGTGTCTTCACTTTGCAATTGAAACTGGGGGCTGGATAAGTGCTGGGTTTGTATCTCACTCAACTGTACATACATTTAGAGCCAGTTTTGGTATAGTGGTTATGAGTGGCGGACTCTTATCTGGAGAACCAGGTTTGATTCCCTGCTCCTCCTCCACATGCAGCCAGCTGGGTGACCTTGGGTCAGTCACAAGTTCTCTCGGAGATGTTCTCTCAAGAGCAGTCCTTGAAAGAGCTCTCTCAGCCCCCCCTACCTCAGGGTGTCTGTGTGGGGGAGAGGAAGGGGAGGAGATTGTAAGCCGCTCTGAGACTCCGAGTGAAGGGCGGGGTATAAATCCAACTCTTCTCTTTCATTGAATATAAAATGAGAATTACCCAACACGCACATTAAAAATAAAATAAAAATCAAGTGTATACTGTACATGGATTGTACATGCATTCTCAGTGACTTGTGAACAGGGCTTTGGTGGTAATACAATCTTCAGTTCTTGCTTGAGCATACCTTATCGGTTATTCTGATGGTTTTTTTTTTCCCCCCCCCCCCCAAGGTTCTCCAAAGAGAGCTGTTCAGATGGTTCACGAGTATAGCTTGCTTCCATCTGTCCTTTCGGGCAGGAACAGTTGAGCAGACGTGTTCAGGGAAAGGTAGTTTCCCGTCACCCTCAGAAGTGTGTGGGCAACGGCTACTGCTTTAAAAGTCAGGTGCGGGCGAGGGTGGGATTTTGAGGGTTTACAAAATAAAACCCTGCCGTGCTTTATTCTCTTGAAATGACCCCCGTTCATACCATATGGTACCCTTGAACAGCTAGCGCCAAGTCCAGTAGCACGTTAGGGACCAGCAAGATTTTGGGGATATAAGATTTCGAGAGTCGAGATACTTTCAAGATACCAGAGCTTCCCCCCCCCCCAAAAAAAACCAATTTATTAGGATATATTGTTAAGTCAAATACACATCATATTATTAATTATTATACATCCTTTCTTATCCATTATCTCACCCCCTCTGGCTTCCCACAGTGCTCCAACCTCCAGCCCATTCTTAAACTTTCTTTATTCTCCCCCCCCCCCTCCTTTCATCATAATCTACCCTTTAATAATCTACCGGTAACATTTCCTTCTACTATTGTTTTCTTATAATTATCTCTCTTCTAATAACATTAACTTCTCAATAATTGTCAAAGCAAACTAAGTTGCCCTTTACATCCCAGTATTTCTCTAAGTAATCTTTAAAGTCTTTCCAGTCTGTATAAAACTCTTCCGCTTCAAGATTCTTAGGTTTCCTTGTCATTTTGTCCATTTCAACCATAAATAGTAATTTCTTTATCCATTCCTCGATTTCCGGAATTCTGTCTTGCCTCCAGCATGGTGCATAAGTCATTCTAGCCGTTGTGATCATATACCACATCAAAGTCCTTTTCTGTATGTTAACTTCCTCCATTTTAAGCCCCGACAATAGTATTTCAGGTTCTTTCTTAAAGTTACATTTCACAATTTTTCCCCATTTCTTTATGTACCTCAGTCCGATAGCTTTTTGCTTTATCACATGTCCACCACATATGATAAAAGGAGCCCTCTATTAAGATACCAGAGCTTCGACTCTTGGAAGCCGATACCCTGAAAATCTTCTTGGTCTCGAAGGTGCTGCTAGACTTGATTTCTTCTACTGCAGGACCAGCACAGATACCCTCTGAAAAATGCTCCCTCTAAGCTGTGGAGTCTTCTGAGCAAAAACTCCTTTGTCAGCTCCTGGCACTAAAGCTGTGAGCGAGCGATTTGACTGCTGCATCAGTGAGTTTGCTCTGGAGCCCTCCTTCCTGAGCGTAGACAAAAACGCGTGAGCCGGAGGCTAAAAAACAGTGAGCTGGCTCACACTAGCTCAGCTTAGAGGGAACACTGCCTCTGAAACTACGGGACCCCCGAGGGTAATGTCAGAATAAGTCCCTGCCGTTTTGCAGAGTTAAGCGTCGGCAGGTCCTAACATTTGGGGGGCAGTGATAATAACAATAATGATTTTTTAATACATGAACCACCTTTCTTCAGCAGTCTTGGTAGGGCTTGGAGTCTTGGAAGCAACTCTTGGGATGGGAGAAAAACTGCAGTGTTTTAATTTTCTTTGGTCAGTCACCCCGGCCATTCTGCGAGTCTCTCGCAGCTTTTGGCAGGGGCAGATGGCGTCAGAACATCAAATCCAGCATTGGGTTTCCCATAGTGGCCAACCAGATGCCCCGAAAACCTGCCAGCGGAAGGTCAGAGGCCAAAGCTTCCCTTCGTACCGCCCCCCAACTCAGGGTTACTATCCCTATATATAGATGTTCCCCTGAGCCATCCTGGCTAACGGCACCTGATGGACACATGCTGGATCAGACCAGTGAGAGTTCACCTAGTCCAGCATCCTGTCTCACACAGTGGCCAACCAGTTCCTCTGGAGGGCCAACAACAGGGCAGAGAGGCTGAGGCCTTCATAAGAACATCAGGAGAGCCCTGCTGGATCAGACCAGTGGTCCACCAAGTCCAGCATCCTGTCTCACTCAGTGGCCAGCCAGTTCCTCTGGAGGGCCAACAACAGGGCATAGAGGCCAGGCCTTCATAAGAACATCAGGAGAGCCCTGCTGGATCAGACCAGTGTTCCACCAAGTCCAACATCCTGTCTCACACAGTGGCCAACCAGTTCCTCTGGAGGGCCAACAACAGGGCATAGAGGCCGAGGCCTTCATAAGAACATCAGAAGAGCCCTGCTGGATCAGACCAGTGGTCCATCTAGTCCAGCATCCTGTCTCACTCAGTGGCCAGCCAGTTCCTCTGGAGGGCCAACAACAGGGCATAGAGGCCGAGGCCTTCATAAGAACATCAGAAGAGCCCTGCTGGATCAGACCAGGGGTCCATCTAGTCCAGCCTCCTGTCTCACCCAGTGGCCAGCCAGTTCCTCTGGAGGGCCAACAACAGGGCATAGAGGCCGAGGCCTTCATAAGAACATCAGAAGAGCCCTGCTGGATCAGACCAGGGGTCCATCTAGTCCAGCCTCCTGTCTCACCCAGTGGCCAGCCAGTTCCTCTGGAGGGCCAACAACAGGGCATAGAGGCCGAGGCCTTCATAAGAACATCAGAAGAGCCCTGCTGGATCAGACCAGTGGTCCATCTAGTCCAGCCTCCTGTCTCACACAGTGGCCAACCAGTTCCTCTGGAGGGCCAACAACAGGGCATAGAGGCTGAGGCCTTCATAAGAACATCAGAAGAGCCCTGCTGGATCAGACCAGGGGTCCATCTAGTCTAGCATCCTGTCTCACCCAGTGGCCAACCAGTTCCTCTGAAGGGCCAACAACAGGGCATAGAGGCCGCGGCCTCTATAGAAACATAAGAAGAGCCCTGCTGGATCAGACCAGTGGTCCATCTAGTCCAGCATCCTGTCTCACCCAGTGGCCAACCAGTTCCTCTGAAGGGCCAACAACAGGGCATAGAGGCCGAGGCCTCTATAGAAACATAAGAAGAGCCCTGCTGGATCAGACCAGTGGTCCATCTAGTCCAGCATCTTGTCTCACCCAGTGGCCAACCAGTTCCTCTGGAGGGCCAACAACAGGACACAGAGGCCGAGGCCTTTGAAAGCTTTTTATTCCTGTGGCCATCACAACATCCTCTGGCAGTGAATCCCACATTTTAATCACGGACTGTGTAAAGTAGTGTTTCCTTTTGTCCGTCCTGAACCTACTGCCCATCAGCTTCATTGGATGCCCTTGTGTTCTAGTATTTTGGGAGAGGGAGAAGAAAGTATCTTTGGTCAAGTCTCTCCACCCCCTGCATAGTTTTATAAACCTATCATGTGCCCCCTTAGTGGTCTCCATTTAGAAGAGTCCCAGACTCTTCAACCTTTTCTCAAAGGGAAGATGTTGCAGCCCCCTCATCATCTCGGTTGCTCTCCTCTGTACTTTTTCCAGCTCTGCAATGTCCTTTTTGAGATACGGTGTCCAGAACTGTACACAGTATTCCAAATGAGGCCACACCGTGGATCTATACAGGGGCATTATAATATCGGCTGTTTTATTCTCAGTCCCTTTCCTCGCGATCCCTAACATAGAGTTTGCCCTGGTCACCACTGCAACACACTGGATCGACCCTTTCTTTGAGCTTCCCGCCGTGACCCAGTGTGCTGCAGTGGCAAAAAAGGCGGATTCGTCCGTGACGGTGTCTAAACTGCTTTAATGCCGTTTCAACCGGTGACCCTTGCTACAGCGGCAACCCTTTTCTTCCTTAGGCACTTTTTGCGCTCTCGATATCTGTCTGTCGCAGCTCCAGGACGTGGGCACGTTGAATGTCTATCAGACAGTGATGCGGATGAGGTCCCAGCGGGCGTTTAGCATCCAAACTCCCGAGCAGTACTATTTTTGCTACATGGCTATCCTCGAGCACGCGCAGAGAGAAAACCTGCTGCCCGCCCCTCAGGCCAGGGTCGGCAAAGAGAAGAGCTAATACGGAGGGGCGGAGAGCTCGCTGGAGAAGCAGAGACCAGTCCGCCGCCGACGTCCGTCCCTCCTTCCCGCCTCCCTGTCTGCCGATCCGGATTCATCAGCGTCTTCGCCTTCACGCCGCCGCCAACCTTGACGGAAAGCCGAGTTCTCTGCCACGGCGGCTCTCCAGAACCTTCCCCGTTGACTCGCCGGCTAGATCGAGTCGCAGCCGGTAGCCGCGTTCATCGAGACGAGCAGCCTCAACTTGAACTGTGCCTTATTAGACAAAAAAAACCAAAAAACCCTGGCTTGCTGTCGGAGGCCAGGGGGCAGAAAAAAAATCGATTCCTTGCCATGGGGAAAGGGCATCTTTTCGGGACCATTGGAGACAGGGTGGATTCAGTTCCCGCCCTGCCCCCTGAATGCTGGAGGTAACACTTCCAGTTCTGTCCGAAGCCAGGACAGTGCAAAAACCCCAGCCTTCAGTCTTACCAACGCTAAGTTCGTGTGTCTGTCTGTCTGTCTGTCTATAATATATGCTCCTTATGGCGGGGTGTAACTGGCATTCATGTTATATAGATAGATGTCGTTGCTTCTAGCTGACCCCGTGGTTCCGTAGCGTTATACTGCCTCGACTTCTGGAACCGGCAGCGAGGTCTAGTGTTACAGTGGGTATTATTGGCTCTGCCTTTCCCTGTGTCTACCCGGTCCACCCTTCGATGCAGCTTTCGAATGTGCCCACCCCTGCTAGAACCATGCACACGTTGATGTACGGACCACCGTGTCTATTGCACAAACACTTGGAACGAGGATGCCACGTCACTGGTGTGTAGATGGGGCGGGGGACGCCGCCCTGGTGGGCCGTCTCTGGAACTTGCACAAATGACATGTGCCAGTCTCGCAAGTCCACTTTTTTTTTTTAAAAAAAAACAAACTTGTTCCAACAAGATGGGTTGTTAAGCCCCAGCAAAAAGATTGGTAGGTAACTCCCCTGTGCCATTTGGGACATTACCCTGCTTGTTAACAAAAAAAATTGCTCATACTTTTGCCGTTAGCCGGAAGCGCTATTTGGCTGGTACGATGTCTGGCTGGGGGGTGGAAGACAAAGGTTTTGCCTCGAATCGACGTGATTTCAGGAGGTGAAGTGAGTCTCCCCCTTTTTTCTTATGCCTTGAGCTGGGCTCTTCCATTGTGGCTTCTCCCACAGCCTACCTAAGCCGGGTGATACCAGTTGGGACAGAGCTGGGGCATCCTTCATGCCAAACGGCACGTCACAAATATCCCTACACACACACACACACACACACACACACAAAAAGTGGCCTATCCTGATGTTTCCCGTCTCTCACCACATCCTCCTCGCGTGGCCTGCCAGTGACGAGACCGCAATCTCGTGGTATTCCTAAGGTAGGCCCCCACCCCCACCCCCGTTTCTTCCTGCTTGCAGGAGACAAGAGCGACGGGTTGGGCCGACCGCAGTAACTTTATACTGGAATAAGCTCTTTTGAATGTGTATATTCTTTATTTTTTACAATCTCTTTTTGGTTTTTGTATTTAACATTAACTTGATCGAGTCGGAGTCAGATAAATGTAAATGTTCCTATTCGCTGTTGTATGGCGACTACTTTTTCTTGTTGTTGTTGTTGTTTCTTTTTTTAAAAAATGTATTCACACATAAAATATACCTACAACACAGAGGGTATTTTAAGGGGGTTTCTATTTTCATACATCGGTAAAAGCATTTTATAAATGGCCGGGGATATTCGGGGGATTGACAACAGAAGAACATATGAGAAGCCAATGTTGGATCAGGCCAATGGCCCATCCAGTCCAACACTCAGTCACACAGTGGCCAAAAATACCAGGTGCCATCAGGAGGTTCAGTAGTGGGGCCAGGACACCAGAAGCCTCCCCCCACTGTTGCCCCCCCCCCAAGCACCAAGAATATAGAGCATCACTTGCCCCAGACTGAGAGTTCCTATCTGGCTAATAGGACAGCAAATCTCATCTCATCCACCTGTTATGGATCCTGGCCAGGGGCTCTGTAGATTCTCAGAAATTCCCAAAGAAACCATACGAGAGATTCAGGATTACTTACAAGGAGATCTTTAATAAGGCATCAAAGTCCTTAAAGATGCAAGCTAAGCTTCTATCATCTGGCCTTAAGCTCGCACATGCACAGTGAAACTTAGCCAAACCTTGAGACCACGAACATGACTAAAACTAAGCATCTTATACCCTAAATGCTGGCTGTGAGTCAAAGTATGATTAATTAAGCTATCCCAAAAACTCAGACGAGGCAGGCCATCTTGTACCTGACATCCACTGGGGGGAAGAAACAACCCACGATTTGAAGATAAGCACTGCTTGCAAACATGAGAGAGAGAGAAGTTCCCCTGAGAGCAACTAACACAGTCCTCTCCCAAGACTCAGGGTAACTGACTCAGAGACCGTTTGGTGTAATGGTTAAGAGTGCGGGGTCTAATCTGGGAGAACCGGGTTTGGTTCCCCATTCCTCCACATGCAGCTGCTGGTGTGACCTTGGGTCGGTCACAAGTCCTTTCGGAGCTGTTCTCTCAAGAACAGTTTTCGAAATAGCGCTCTCAGCCCCACCTACCTCACAGGGTGTCTGTTGTGGGGAGGGGAAGGAGATTGTAAACCCCTCTGAGACTCCGGGTGAAGGGTGGGGTATAAATCCAATCTCCTCCTCCTCCTCCTCTTCTTCTTCTGCATTTGGTGTAGTGGTTAAGGGTGTGGACTCTAATCTGGGAGAACCGGGTTTGATTCCCCACTCCTCCACTTGGAGCTGCTGGATGAACTTGGGCAAGCCATAGTTCTGACAAGAACTGTCCTTGAAAGGCCCCACCCACCTCACAGGGTGTCTGTTGTGGGGAGGGGAAGGGAAAGGAGTTTGTAAACTGCTCTGAGACTCCTTTGGGTAATGAAGGGCGGGGTATAAATCCAATCTCTTCCTCTTCTTCTTGTGAGCATATAACAAAGATGGAGTCACCTAGGCCAATATACCCCCTTCCCCCTCATGTTGCCACTGATTATTCTTCCTGTTGTCCTTCATTCAACCTCCAGTTCCCCACCACCACCGCTGCCTTCTGTTCCCTGCCACCTGAACCCTAATGAGTTTTCACAATTAGCCAAGGGTTACCATATTCGGGAAAGCAAAATGAGGACATATTTCCCGACGGACTACTTCAAACGAGTGATCACTGTGACAAATCTCATTTTAAATACCCCTAATATTTAAGCCAGAGGTGTCGAACTCTTTTGATATGAGGGCTGGATCTGACATAAATGTCACTCGTCGAGCCGGGCCATGTGTGCCATAAAATGTAACATGAGGTACTGCTATTAGAAACCACAACATTCAAAAACCAGTGGGGGAACATTTTAACCTTCCAGGACATTCAGTTGCTGACCTAAGAGCAGTGGTTCTCTTACAAAGGTATTTCAAAGGGAAATCGGGAAGAGAGACTGCTGAATTGCAACTGATAATGAAGCTCATGAGGATGCATCCTCCAGGACTGAATCAAGAGCCAGGCTTCCTGTCTCATTACCAGTGCTGATTTCTCCATGCATATCACGCCTAATCCAATCAAGCCTGCTATTGTCATTCACCTGCTATTGTTCTGCATCTGAAATCCCTTCACACTCCAAGATATGACAGATGGACTCCCATTCCAGCTGTATCTGAAGCAGTGAGCAGCGACTCCCAAAAGCTGCCCTGCCCTGCCACAAATTTTTGTTAGTTTTTAAGGCGCCACTGGACTCTTGCTCTTTTCTAGGCTAGGATCTGGGAGACCCAGGTTCGAATCCCCGCTCTGCCGTGGAAGCTTGCTCGGTGACCTTCGGCCAGTCACATGCTTTCAGGCTATCCTACCTTACAGGGTTGTTATGAAGATAAAATGGAGGAAAGGCAAAAGTTGTAACCCACTTTTGGGTCCCTATTGGAGGAGACAAGGGACCATCAACGAAGTTCATAAATAATCGGCACTGGCTGCTCAAGCTTTCACGTTTTTTTGTATCACCTACTGTCTGATGCCTTTGACCAGAGATAACCGGGATTGAACCTCCGAACTTTGGGCATGCCAGTTTCTCCCAAACATTCTGAAGCTTGTTCGTCAAGTCCAAGGGATGACCCGTGCTGGCCAAATCCACTGCTTTTTAGTGGCAGTTCTGTAGTGATCAGAATGTCTAATAAATGGGATCTAGATTCATTTAAGACTGAACTCTCCCTAGAAGTTCAAATGACGAAACTCGGACTATCGCTCTTTGGTCACAACTATGAGAAGAGATTTCTTTCCCTCTAACTTTCCTCCTTATACACTGCCCTTGAGGCGTGGTATTTATTTATGGAATTCGATTTCTATCCCGCCCTCCCCACGAATGGGCTCAAGTGGGAGCTTGTTCCACCCGTTTGGGGCCACCACAGAGAAAGCCCTGGCCCTGGTTGAGGCAAAGTAGACAATCTTGGGCCCTCGGACATCACACGCAAGAGGTGGAATTTGCCCCTACGAGTCCAAGGCCACCACCCCGGGGCTCAGGGAGGCGGGGAAACGTTTCGCGCCCCCCCCACGCCGACGCCGCCATTGCAGCTGCCGGAACTTTTTAAAGAGCCCCCAAGGAGAGCTGGTGGAGCCAGAATGACCTCTCGCGTGTGATGTCCGAGCGGCATCACACCTGAGAGGTGGAATTTGCCCCTACGAGTCCAAGGCCACCACCCCGGGGCTCAGGGAGGCGGAGGAACGTTTAGTCC